TCTGCATTGAATCTAGAAAGGAATCTGGCTATAACTACATTTTTTATTATTGAGTTGTACAATATATACAATTGTGTAATGTGTTGTACTGCTTACTATATGGAAGATTCTGTGTTTTGTCTGCCTACTCAGTGGTAACATACTATTGTTACATTTGGTCAATGTTTTCCCAGAAATAAATGTACTAGAGAATTCAAGGGTGATTAGTCTTTAAGCCACACTGACAAAAATGCCATTTTGGGGTATTCTGATAGCTTATATTAGAGATGACTATTTTTTGGGTTTCATGCAAGATTAAGTGCCACTATTGGCAATAGTAAAGTGATGCAAGGGTAGTGGTGTAGGACTAAATACAGCCTGAGAGTTTAATTCTTTTAAAGGTATAGAGTACTTCTCTCTGTATTTAGGACTACTTTTTACAAATATTCTTCAGGACAAATTACTGTTTGCTGGTTGATTGGTTTGGGCTCCTGTTCTTAAGATGTCGCAACAAGTACTGTAGCTATCAAATTTAATTGAGTTAGGTATGTGTCAGAGGGCATTTTCTTGAAAAAAACCAGATCAACCTATTCTCTAAGATACTAAGAAGACCCTATAGCCATTGTTTAAGTGCATGCTACATAATGGAAAACATTTTTCATTTCTCTGCTTTCTTGAAGAAGTAATGCATCTGTTCTTAATAAAACAGCAAAATGCAAAACTATTTTCAGTTGTTAGTAGTGTTAAACTATTTTGGCAATTTAAGATTCCTTTGCAATTTTTTGCTCTTTTGTTTTAGGCAAAGTTTGCAAGGAATTGAAGATAAAATCACAAAGCTGAAGGTGACCATGGTGGCCTGGGACCGCCATGACAACTCCGTTATCACTGCAGTAAATAACATGACTCTGAAAGTTTGGAATTCTTTCACTGGTCAACTCATTCATATTCTCATGGTAAGGTTTACCATCTTGATTTATCAGTCCTGAATGCAAAATTGACATATACATCATCAACATTGTTCCTTATATGTTGTTTTTTTTCTATCTTCAAACTGCCTTGACAAATGTTTTCAGATAATTAAAGTGTAATAGAGATGTCTGTCAGCTGCTTATTAGAAAATAGAGCCTTAAAGTTGCAAATAACCATTGCTGTTCAAGATGTCTGAAACTAATTTTGGACTTCTTGTTTGTATTTTTTTAACTGAAGTGCTGTCTTGAAGGAGAGAAGGAAACAGTTGTTTCTTTCACCTTTATTTAATGTGATAAATGTTCTGAAATACTGTTAATGGATACATTTGCCCTGTTTAAACGGAGGATTAGCAAGCCTAATCATTCCATGAATACAAACAATGTCTTCTAGCTACTATAAATCAACAATTTTATTAATGTCTGATAGTAGCTGTAGGTAACTAGATGCTCTGTTTAGGGGTGGAAATACTTAATGCAAGCTTTAAAATGTAGTGTTAATTTTGAAGATGTTCTCTAACTTTTGGTTATATATTTGAATCTGTGGATTTAAAATTAATTTTTAACTGATGCTCTGCCTAAGAAAATTGAAATCTCTGGAGCATTAAGACCCCAGAATACCAAATGTTGTGAACTCTAATCTTTTTAAAATTCTGGTGAGAATATTGGGACATACTTGACATACTACTTAGGAAACTAAATTTGCAACCAAAAGAAAAAAATATAATTTACCACTACCAAAAAAAAAAAATCCCAAAAACATGTGATCAGAGTAGTTCTTTGCTGGACAATTTCATAGGCTGATGTTGCAGTTAAGAGTGTTGCCATATTGAATTCTTGGGTAAATTATTTGAGGCAATACTCTGGATCATCTTGCTGTGTCTTCATTTCCCAGGGGCATGAAGATGAAGTGTTTGTGCTTGAACCTCATCCGTTTGATCCAAGAGTTCTCTTCTCTGCTGGACATGATGGAAATGTCATAGTTTGGGATTTGGCAAGAGGGGTCAAAATCCGGTCTTACTTCAACATGGTAATTATTGTCCTTTGTGCAGATATGCCAAAGCAACTATTCTAAACCTTTTGCTTTTAGTGCATTCTTATGTAGGCCATCTTGAAGCATGTGTTTTTGTGTAGGGCAAGATCCTGCATCTGGTGAAGTCAAGAGAAATTCCTGTTCAGTTTAGTGGGGCAAAGAGTAAATCCGTAAAATGTGGAAGTTGTTTCTTTGGCTGTATTTGATAGTGTCATCTCTCTATACGCTTGATGCACATAAAATTGCAGTGTTAGTTACATTGTCAGAGACCATGAGTAAGAGACAAGGTGACAGAGACCCTCCTTCAGTGCTCTGTTTCCTGCCTGGGGAGCCAAGGTGGAACTTGGTTTATTTTTGCATTACTAATTCTTAATCTGGCTAAAGCTCTTCAGGAGTCACTTGATCTCATACAATGTTGTTGTATGCTGCCTTGGCCCATTGGACTGAATACTGTCAACCTTTCTGTGTAGAGCTCCTCCACATGCAGGTTTCAAATTTGGTCAGTTCTGCACTAAACTAATTCTTCTGCAAGATGGATGCATTAGGTATTTCCATCTGTTTCTTGGTATTAAGTGGGTCTTTGTACTTACCTTTTTCCTCAAAAAGGTAATGATGTGTTGTGCAATTCAGACTTTGTCTCCTGGAGAAAATTGCAAAAGTCTTTGTAGAATATGAACAATCATTTGGAATGTTGAGAGTAGGCAAATGGGCTTCAGCCATAGTGGAATGGCAGTCTTGGAGACCAGCATAAAGAAGATCATCTGAAGAAGAGATGTACCATAGATGTACTCACAAAAAAAAGGGACATTTAGAAATGTAGTCAAGCCAGGAAGGTCACTATGAACCTAAAGAAAGATTTTGAGATGTGCAGTGCAGTGCTGTTCATAAAGGCTCTGAGGAAATTCATCCAAGATTAATCAGAGAGAGGGCAACCTAGACTCCTTCAGCACTGACCTATGTTCAGTAATGTTCCCTCTGCGTTGGTTTCTGTAACTGAGCTTACAAAGGATCCAAGACAATCATCTTGGAGCTGTGAGCACATAACTTTGATACTCAGTGCTGTTCAGTGTTACCAGGTGAGGTGTATGTTCTCATTGCATGGTTAGCTTGCCTTTCCAGTGCTGCTTACAGTGGATGTATGATGTGTTTCATGGAGTTTAAGGTCAGAAGAGGTTGAGCTCATCTGCTCTTTAGAAGACAAGTCAATTTAAGAGCTATCAGAATCTAAATTACAGGTGTCTGTGATCTTAGGCAGCCCCCTGAAATATTTATTTCAAGAGTGCAATGCAACACAAACACCTAAAAAGGGTAAAAGTCGCATATGTTTTAAGATCTTCGGAGTCAGAGAAATTTGTAGACAGTCAGAAGGTCTCAGCAGCTAGTAATCTGTGCTTCATGCTAGAAATTAGTATGAGAAATCTGCCTGCTGTGTGAGGTGATGGGAGCTGTAAGTCTGGCAATGTTTGTCTCAAACCAATGAATTAAGGTGTATGGTCCAGGTATGCAAGAGAGGTTTGTCTCTATGGTCTGAACATTTCACCAGCCAGTCTTTTGTGTTTGATGCTTCAAAAGCCATGGGTGGAAATTAGAGCTTTTCTTAGATAATGAGGGACAGGGAGAGGACATTGCACAGTCACCTCTGCAGAGCTGCAAATGTTAAATGTTCTGGTTTACTAAGGGAGGGCCTGGATACAGACAGAGCTGCCAGTCTTCTCCCTTTCCAAAGTGACATATCCACTGGGAACATCAATAGATTAACTGCTGTTAAATTATTCTGATAAGCGCTGTTACCTTCATTGAATTGCTCAATATGTCATCTCATACTTCTGAAAAACAGCATTTGTATTTCTATTCAGGGGATGGGAAATTTTTACAGATTGGATTCTTTTGGAGCAGACAGGGAATGTCATCTGGAGCAACCAAACCTAAAAGTTGAATGACATGAGATATCTGCTTTACTGTCCAAGAACCTCTTGTTATCATTGCCTGGTCTGTGGTACCAGAACTAGCACTGAAGTGCTCCTGGAAAGAAATTGCAGACCTTGGGAGTGTTGTTTGAATTAGCAAAATCACAGATGATTGTTGGCTTAATGTTAGTCCAGTCAGGTATTCCCATCCTAGATGGATTGCTTTGTACATGGAAAGCCTCGTGGCAAATCCCTAAAGCAAAGTAGGGTATTTTTAAGTCGCTTTTCATCCCACCCCAAATTCCTTCATTGTCAGCATCAAAAAAAAGGTAATCAAAATTTGAGGGATGAAAGTAGTGTCAGTTTGGAACCTAATTCTTTTATCCAGCCAGTTGAATTTCAAAGAAAGCCATAGTAATCAAACATACTTTTTGTTTTGCATTTAACTTAAACTTTGATGCCCCCATTTAACCTTGCTGGTTACAAATTGGTCCCACTAGATGACTTCTGCTGGTCCTGCAGAACATTCTTTCATTTGAAACTTTAGATTTGCTGTTAAATCAATTGTCATCATCACAATTTGAAGCATCTTTGGTCCGTTTGCCAGATTTTGGTCTTTATGATTAATAGTAAACTCAGTCCCATAAATGGCTGTCACATGAGTTTACTCTCAGTAAGTATATATATTTTATTTATTCCACATTTTCATCTGTACTCTTCTTTTGGTCTAGTTATGTAAGTATTGCATAACTTGGTGTCAGAGTTCATAGACATCCAGGACTGGTTTAATTCAGTGACTTGAACACTTAAAATCATTCATTCAGTGAATCCTGAATATATTCACTCTGCCAGAGTGAAATTTACCATAGAAATATCAAGAGTGTGAGATGGGAAAAGCCTTTTAGGTGATTTTGAGATGCAGCAAGAAAGTCCTGAGAATGTTTGAAATTGCATATGTGAATGCAGATAATTACTTTTTGGCCTATGTAATATTCATGGCAGTCTTGACTTAACGCAGCTGCTAATGAAGAATGTGTTGGTGTATTTATCATTCATTTTTCCAAGGAATCAATGAGGTGGTGGCTTTGTTGTAATATTAGGGTAGTTTCACATGCTGTATTTCCCAGGTACAAATAAGCATTCTGAAGAAACAGGGTCATAAACCTTAAGTAGTTGCTGCAGCCAACTGTTTCAGGGCTTATATATTTCACAAAAATACTGTTATTGCTACAGAAGAACAGCAGAGACCCTTGTAAGTGTTTAAATTGTGGCTCATTTTGCTGAACAGTGTCTAAGATTTAAGCATCTTAGTGGATGATCTTGGGGGGGAAAAATACACTGAATAGGGAGCTGTCTAGTGAAAGCAATTGCATGGTAATGTACATAGAGATGTATTTGAAATTCCACTTCCTACTTAAAGCTGCATTGAGGCATCTGTATCCCTTGTGTGGTAAGGCACCTTTCCAACAACGGAGGGACGTCCCTGCTTTCCTAAAGCAGGGCACAGGAGCAGGTGGCACTCATCTTTTGGGATTGCCCTAGCTGTTAGAGCTGGGACATGGAATACCCAGATTCTGTTCTCTCCTCAGTGGTAAGATACTGGATTCAACACCTGCCACTTACCCAGGAGGGCTATAAATGTCTAGGTAGGACTTCTTCCCAATTTTCCCCTGGAGCTCTGACACTGGTGTGACATGAATATGTACTGTAGCCTGTTGGTTTAGGCACTGTCTTGTTTTCTTGGGTGTGCAAATCATGTTCCAGGTAAATTAGAAAGTGGTAAAAATTTATTTTTGCCTTCAAGCTTCAGGCAAACTTTTGAATTTGCAGGATTAGTGTTCTGTTAGGTCATAAATAGGAGCTGTACACCATCCAGTTCTTGTCATAGCATCTGTTTTCTTTCAGGTGTTCTCAGTAAGTTACTTGTTAATAGATCTGACACTGCTGGTTTGTTGGGAATGCCAGGGTTGCCACTTGGATGGTATGTGCTGCAGCTTAGCCTTAATGTTTTTAGTTCCCTTAGGCTCCAAGTAGAAACTTTCTAATTCTGAGAATGTATGAGGGGAAAAAGAAACTACAGGAGCTTAAGAATCTTCCAGATCAAAAAGGAGATACCTAGTAATGTTAGGCGGATGCATAGGTTTTTGTTAGGTTTGGTGATTGGGTTTTTGTTGGTGTTGCAGTGTGGACATTAAGTACTGCCTTGAGTTTTTAAGTGTTGTGTTTTCAAGTGTTGTTAGTTGTTACTCAAGTCTGACCATAAACAGGTTTGTGTTGTTACAGTGCTGCCCTTGCTTGTTATTTTTTGGACTTAGGCAGTTTCCTTTAAGCACACTGTTCTTTAAGCAGTACCTCTTGGGACTGAGCTCTGCTGATTCAGACTTCTTGCACAGGGCATTCTGTCTGGAGCCTTTGAGGATGGGTTTCTCCTGTGATACAGCTGATACTTCTTGTCCCATGAGTGGGCTGCCCTGTAGAAGAACATTCAAAAAAGCTTCCTAAAAGATTTTAGGATATGTAAAGCTTTGTAGCTGTCCTTTGTCTTTAGTTTTGTGGTTTGGTTTTGGTTTTCGTTAATAACCTGATTTACATAGCTTTATGAACAGTTGCAGCAACATATGGTGACTCCTGTTACTTAAAAGTATTCCACTGAAAGTATGGAGACTGTACTACAGTAGCAAGAGGAAAGATTAGAGGAGAGCAGGCATTTTTACAATCTTTGTCACTGTAGAATTTGAGATTTTTTACTGTATCTTTGAATGTCATTGCTTTGCCTGAATCTGATAACCTGACTGCAGATTCTGTAGGTAGGCACTGCAATTACTGAGCCAGAAAACTTGGGTTTTAGTTGATAAAGACTAGCCTTAAAATGCTTAAGAAAACTTTGTGTGATGTAGAAATTAATCATGTAGGAATATTGAAGCCTTTAAAGAAAAAAATTATTCTCCTGGTCAGATTTTAAAAAAAACAAAACCCCAAACAAAACCAACAGCAAAAGACCTTTCATGACTAGATATTGCTCTTCTGTCTTACTGGATTGACTCTCATTGTGAGTTGCATCTTTGAGCAGCCAGGCTTTGCTGTAGCTGG